GAGAGCAGTGCACCTCAAGCGAGAGGATGACTGGGTAGGGTGATTCTGTGAAGGCGTACTTGTTGATGACCTTGATGGTGTCTTGGAAGAGGATGCTCTTGGTCAGCGTGCGGCCGTGCATGACGACCGGAATGTTGTCGGCGCCATCCCAGCAATCGATCTCAAGGCATCGGCAGCCCTTCTGAAGCGCGGTAATGTACGCCTCAGTGCTTGATTCGCCTGCAACTTGACGGCCAAGCAGGTAAGTGTTGTGTGAGCTGGAGATGTAGTACTCGTTCAATGGTCGGTTGAGTTCCTGTGGCTGGCCGGCTGGCTTGAGGATGGAGTTGGCAGCCGAAGTCAGGTATGTCTGGAAAGCGGGGAAGTTCATGGCCAATGGTAATGGGACCTCTCCGCCTTCGGTCGGAGTAGCAGCCATTCTGGGTCTTGTTGCACGTGCAAACTTCTCAAAGGTGTTGGTCCAGTATTCGAGATCGGCGTTCACGTCTACGCCTTGCTCGCGCTGCAAAAAGTCGAAGAAAGTGTATTTGTCCATCTCAATTTTTGAGCCAGACGTGTAGGTCTTGTAGATCGCCTTGATGTCTTTGCGCTCCTTGAGGCGGCGCACAAAGTACAAGAATTGCGATTGATTTAGTTTTCCAGCGTCGAGGGTATCGGCTTTTTGGAAGTAGGCGCGAAGGGTGGCTTCGGTGCAGTTGATGTGTAGACTTCGGCACAGCTCGACGGTGCTGGGGAAGTCAAGTGTCTCGTCGCCCTCGCCACGCTTCTTCATTGCGCGTTGCCAGACGAGCTTCGCGCTCTTGTCGGCAAAGCCCAAGAGGCCGGCCATCAGGTCGATGCGGTTGCGCGACACAGACTCGAGCGTCTGAGTCCACATGTTGAAGATGCCAACGTCAGGCGCAATCAAGTGCATTGTCCGTATCCGGCCCTTGGAGCGTGTTGTGTCGGTGTAGACAATGGTAAACCAGTAGGGGGCCCAGTTCTCGGATAGGTTGCACTCTTCCCGGTAGTGCTTAGCTTCCGGACCTGAGCGGATCTCTTTGACATCGTCGATGTAGAAGGCTTTGGAGGGGCGCGAGGAATCCCAGAACACCTTGGCTGATTCCAGATCGAGCCGCAGGTTGATCTCCTTCTTCTCCTTCTTGGTAATCTTTCTCAAAACGGTGCCTTGCTCGAGGCGCGAGTTGCGTACGGGGGCGACGACGGCGGCGTCTGGTATCGAGCTGAAGCTGGGGGTTGGGTGTGAGATGCCGAGGCCGTGGATGGGCTCAAAGGGGTCTTCTACGGCTTCCTCCTCTTCAAAGGCGTCGAAGTCGGAGATGCCAGTGTCGGCGTCGGCGGCAGTCCTGCTGTCGCTGCGGCGGCGCATGATGACGGGGCCGGAGCTCTTGTCGCGCTGCGCAGACGCATTGCCTCGGCGGAAGCGACCTGGAATGCCCTGCGCGCCGCGGCTCACTCTGCGGATCAGACCTGGTCCCTTTCCTAGGGCCTCGGCCATGGCTGACGGTGAGGACGTAGGCGGCGACTGGACGGGTGGTGGAGGCAGGATCGACTCGGGCAGGGTGTAGGAGGGAATGGCCGGCAGCGAGGACGAGACGGGCACCATGCCCTCGGGCGTGGACTGCAGGGAGCCATTGAGGGAACCATTGAGGTACGAGGCCGTCAGCGCGGGACTGGAGCGGGCGGGTATGGTGATGGCGCGTCCGAAGCTGGGCGAGGGCGAGGGCATGCGCGGTCGCGAGATGGCGTCGTGCAGCAGCGACATGGTTGGTGGTGTGGAACAAGCAAGAGGATGTGACGGGGCGGGCTAGTAAATCTTCATGGCGCGGGCCGTGGTGAGGGAGAAGGAGCGTAACGGCGAGCGGGCGCCTCTGGGTAATAAAAGCAGTCAGGATCAACAGCCTGCTGGGTCCTGGTGGAAAAGCGTAGGCTAGGAGCAGCTTCGCATCGTGAGACTGACGGAATGCGTTTGGGCTATGACGAGTCGGGCTTGGGAAGCGCGCGCTGCGCGAAGATGCAGACGCAGGTCAGCTGGGATTACTGGAGAATTGACTTGCATGCACTCTGCATGGATAATTTGGGATCTGAGTACTCCGGAGCAGTCGTGGGGGTTGCAAGCGAATCGCGTCGGCAGACCAGGGCGGGCGAAAATCAGTCAGCGCGCGAGTGGGCGCTGCAGGAAATGCGGAGAAGGGTGTGGTGAGGCGGCGTATCGTGAGTGAGGTGGTGGAATTGGTGGTGAATACTCGGTGGTGTGAGGGTCTTGTGCGTCTGCAATTGGGCGTAGTGTGGATAGCTGCTGGATAGTGTGCGAGAGGAGTGGGCTGTAGGGCAGACAGGTAGTAGTATATGGGCAACGGCTGCGCTTGGCGGCCGTCTTTGGGCCAGGAACAGACAAGGCGCTCACCGAATTTTCAGCTAAATCTTACAAGCACACGATTATCCCTTGACTCCTAGTCATTCGGGCTTCCATCCGCCTCCGCTCAATTCGGGCTCCGAGGGCACTTCCCTGTTTGTCTCCTGGCCTAGCGCTCGACTGCGAGAGCCGCGACACTGGTTAAGGCCCCACTGAGCAACGGTGTCCTGTATGACGCAGCCCATGGTTATACTATGGGGTCCGCCAATCACGGCCTCTCACCGTTCGTCGCCTGAGGATCACGGCCACGGCATTCCACAGGCACCCAGCGCGGCAGCATGGCACAATGCGATGACAGGGCAGTGCATGTTCTGCTCTTGTTCATTGTCCACCGAGTTGCATCACAGGGAGCCATGCTCCATAGTCTGATCCATAGCCCATTGTCACGATGCCGTGCCTTCCGGAGCGGGCATGGCATGGCTGCACGAAGAAGCAACCTCAGCGGCCCTGATGCTGTTCGGTTCGTGTGTCGTCGATCAACTTTGACTCACCGGTATGTTGCGCTGGCCTGTTAAAACTTTGATGCGCCGTCGTCATGTTTGCTACATCGTGTGCGCGCGGTATACTAGCTCTGACTGGCCTGGCACAGCAAGACGGTGAGTCCGAGTCACACGAAGCAATGAGTGTACTGCATTCCGCCCACAGTCGCTGGAAACAACCCGCCAGCCAGTCGCATCGGCGCTGCAAACGCCCCATGTGTGGCGGTGGAATCCCCCATCTCTCACACGTGGCGCGCGGGCAAGTGAAACCCAAGTGCGAAGCCGGCACAACGGTTCCATCATCATAGCCGGCTTCTGACGGCCGGCGCAGAGTCAGGGATCCGCCGGCGACGCCCTCCAACCTTCTGCTGGCCCCTCAATTTGCTGCAGCCGACTCGGCTGCTTCACAATTCCAGCACGTCCCGCTCCTCACAAAGAATGGCGCGACAATGCGGTGCGCCCAATGCTCGTATCCGCATCGCCCTGCCACTGCGAGTCGCGTGATTGTTCCACAAACTTTCCACAGCTTCGAGAAGGAAGGATTCCTGCCCCTGGCGCCCTGCTGCCAATCAAGCCACGACGCCCCCGCACATCAACCGCACACGATGCCAACGTGCCGGGCTTTCCACTTTCGTCCTGTCCATGTGACTTGGGGCGGTGTGATGCATCAAAGTCCATCGTTGCGCTTTGTCCAATCGTTTCTTTGATGCGCAGTAGGTATTCTGAGCTGCCGCTTTCATGCCTTGATTCCTTTCATGCCCTGATGTCGTGGCACCGCATTCGGCCCTTGGGCACCAGCGGCCTCTCGTAGCCCTTCGGACACATATCCGGTAGGCTCGCCGTTGTCGTCGTTGCCGTTCGCTAAGTAAGGATGGCCGGCACTGTGTTGTCACAACTCGTAGGGCTCACCCGAAATAGCGCTGCACGTAGCCCCGCGTGCTCTGAGCCTGCTCGAAACATTTGCAACGATGACATGCATCTCTGGCCGAAATACCATGCATTCAGTGCCCTGTACCCATTCCCCGTGCGAAGGGTGCCTCCACATATTCATATCGCTATCTTCACATGGCTTTCTGCATTGAGCTTTTGCATCACTCTGCTACTCCATGTTTGCGCTGCCGATGCTGTCCGGATGTTGAGCAGCGCGGACGATCGGAATCTTATTGTGTCCATGAGCTGAGCTGAGCTCATGCTACCGGACTGCGGCATGAACTGCCCATCGTACACAATCTGCGCCAATGAGAACATGTAGGCCCCATAAAATATTTTGATTCGCTCATGGCAGTAGGTCGCACGCCGATTGTTAGCCTACCACGGTACTACGTTGCGATATCGATAGGCATGAAATGGCGAATCCATGTTACAGGAAGAGCCGAAACTTTCCACCAAATTTCAGCCTCAGGCATCCCGCGTCCGCACTGAGACAGCCAACCAGCATGTACCTTGTCAACGTTTGTTAGGATCGACGAGGTGGAGTGCCCCATCATCGCTCGTCAGGATATCGCAGCCAGAGGAAGACCCTTGCGAATTTCCGCACAATATGCGTCTGTTCGACCATGTTGGATGCTGTGCAACGGCGCTGGCATGTCCATCTAGGTTGCGGGACGTTTTTGTGCTACTGAAGACCCTTGAGGAGATGATGTCTGAGGAAGCGTGGTTCTGCAGAGATGCATGGGACTGCCCGTCGAACACTTTGCGACCCGACATCTTCTCGCCCTGCTTATTCCCGCTCACTCACTCAACAAATCCACCATGTCCCAATGAACCGTCGTTGAGGAATGTTGATGGCGTTAAAGCTCTGGATTCCAAGGCGTCATAGCCCGTGCCAGAAGCAATTCGAGGTCTAGACTCGAACGTTGCAGGGCTGACAGAGCTGACGGCACGAGATAGTGGCAGACACCTTGAGGATGAATTCTCCGAGTATTTTGGAACCAGCGGGGATGTCTTGCATGCATCATCATGCATTCCTTGATCGTTATCGTCGGTCTGGAAAACAAACGCTTGCCAATTCTTCTCGTCTTCGTCCAGCCTTTGCACAGCAGCGTTGACCGGTCTGTCCCGACGAATGAGGGCCATGTCGGAGGCATGCGCCGATATTGGTTTTCTTACACCTCTATTCAAAGACGGCAAAGAGGCGGAAAGGGAGGACGAGCTAATGCGACTCTCGTTGCCCTGACCTTGAGTGGCATGCTGTGACCAGTCTATTGCAGCTTCGTTATTATGTCTCTTGGTGGGGTAATCATGCGGGACGCTGCTTCTGGATAGAATGGATTTGTCGGAGTGGCTTGAACCATCGGAGATTGCGAGATACGTCTTCCAGGGACTCTCATCGACGATTGTATTGGCAGCAGAAACGTCAACGCCGACTGATCGTTCCCTATCAATATTGTGCTGATGCACATATCCCATCTTGGACTCACCTACCGAGTCTGGATCGTCAAAAGGCTTTGTCTCACCGATCTGGTTGCCATCCGACGCAGTGCGACCACGGGCACCTGCAGTAGAGTTGGAGCCGCTGAAGGCGAAACGAAATGCGCGCTCTTCCCCGTAAGCATGGTGTGTAAGTCGGAAGTCATGCGTAGAGCTCTCGATTTCACGAGAAGTCATCGTCGCAGGTTGACACTGCAGCTCAAACTGGTCATCCGTAAAGCTCTTTTGCTCAGAAGCGTCAGGAGAAGGACTGGCTACATTGCGCCGAGCAAGGTCATAGTGCTGAGGTTGTTCACCGGTCGATGGCGCACGGGAAGCAACATCAGCTTGCTCGAAAGCACTAGTTGCTGCAAGAAGCTCAAGGTCGGCAGGTGGCTTTGCTGAGCGTAGCTGTGCAAGCGGTTCTTCCAGGTCGAAAAGCATGGATTCAGAGGAAGCATGCGACTGCGCACATTGGTCCAATTGTGTAGAGTAAGTGTTTGTCATTGCATCTGTGCCAATCCGGATTCGAACATCATCTAGACGCTGGCGTGGACCACTATCTCCAGGGACTTGGGCAAAGGCATCGTCTGCAAAGTTGTGGACTTCATTCCCGAATTCATCCTTGTCATTTCGTCTTGGGGCTGCACCGCGTCCTCTTGTCGTTCTTCTGCGCTTGCCGATCTTGCTCTTCTCTCTGCTCGAGCGGAACCGCAGAGTGACCGGCTTCGATGGGTCGATGCCGACCCAATCTCTCTGTGTTAAGAGCCTCTTCTTATTCGCTTCGAGTAAGTGCAGTTCCGTATCCACTTCGGAGGCCTGACGTTTTCCGTCACGCAAGTCTATCTATTGATTAGTATCTGCGGTCACTTGGGCAAGAGTGACGAGCTGTCACTACTACCTTTGTGAGTAAGCCGATCGTTTGGGTGTGATTCTCCATGGGGTGTTGTCTCACGACGTTTTGCGGTTGGCTGATAGTTGCCTGGCGTGTGCTCAGGCTGCGTGCTCTCGTTGTGACGTTTCGCTGCGTGCCCTGTGTGTCGCAGAGAGCCTGAGCCAAATGGTGCTATGCCTAAAAGGTAGGAGTCCTCATTGTCTTGCAAATAGCTAGGGCGAAATGGAGCGACGGGAGAGTTGGTATCATTTTGGAGCTGTGTCCGCGCTCGTGCAAAGTATGCTTTCTGCTGTTGGACCACGCCCGTGTTGGCTTTCTTGGTGCGCTGTAGCGAGCCACCTGTCCAGTTCATATTCGAACGCGTCGAAGTTTTCCTGTAGCTGTCTTGGATATGCGCGGGCCGATGGAGAGCATATCCTGAGTTGTGCTTGGGGGATGAGCACTTTGCTCGTTGCAGCTGCCCAGGTGCTGCGCGCGCGCGCTTGCCGACTGGCGATGGGCTGCTCCTTCCCCTCAGCGGTTCCTCTCTCACGTCACCCTCATGAACCCCGAAGCTGCAACACAACTGCAGCACGTCACTCCGCCTCTCGTAGCGCTGGCCTATTCATCTTCCTCGGTTAGACTCAGCTGTACAGCTCGAGTGTCTTGCGCGACTCATGCTCGGATCTGTCGTGCCGGCGGCAAAACGACTACAGATGCGAGGGTCCAATCTCCTGATCGATCAGCGCCTCCTCCATCTTCCCTCCGCAAAACTAGTGGACCGCCGCAGATGTGCCGAGACCCTGCGACGGGAACCCCGTGGGTGTAGAAAATCTTCTACTTTCATGGCCAGAGGGTGGTGGAGAAGGGACCTAAAAGATCATCGCGCTGCTACACCATCTTCAACACATACAGCAACATATGCGAGGGCCTCCAGTTCTGCAAAGCCGATTTTAGAGCTATCCACAGCTCAAAAACTTCGGGGCAACTCCTGGGGAAATCGTGGAGAGGTGGAGAAGAACGTGCTCGACGACCAATGCCCCATACAAAGGTCCACCACCTCCAACGAAACCCCGTTCATCCGTCTCTTTAGAATTCGCAGCCAAAACACCGGTCGCGATAAGTGCGCTACCTGCATAATGCTGGAGCTACTTCAGATCATTGCTCCTTGCAGAGGGGATTCCGGTCCTAAACGGGTCTTGCGGCATTCTGAAAGCGCCAATGTGCACAGGATGCGTGACTTGACTGGCCGCTAAATGTGTTCTCCCAAACTGACCAGGCACTCGTGTTGCGTTCCCACCCAAATGCCTCAATCTACGTCCACTACGCCCACCACTAATCGTCAACAGTCGTTCAGCTTTCGTTCTCGAGGGTTTCTTTTTGATTTTTCTACACCAGGTGTTGAGCTTGGTTTTGAGTAAATACCACCCATATCCACAATGGCAGCCCGATCCTATAATGCGGAATGATGGCATACATGCTTCCTGGCGCCGCAGTCCGTACTGCACATGCGCCGCCAGTTGCGGTGTACATTCATGTACAGTTACGTCAAGCGCTATGGCCTGAGACTATGCCTGTGGGTACTGGTTCTACTCGCGGCCCACCACATGTAAGCTGGGGAGATATGGCTCAATGCACGCGCCTACACTCGGAAGAGAGGTGCGTCAGTCGTCTCATTCGACATGTGAAAGGTAGCGATAAGGCCCGCGCATGGCATCGCAGGTGTATCGCGTCTCTATCGATGCTGTATTATTCAGTCGAGGTCAGTTTTCAATATGGTGACGACGGACGAAGGCTAAGAGCCTAAGAGCCTAAGACGGATTGGCATGTCTGCCGAGATAGCCTACGTTTGAGCCTCAAGTTGCCTCATCTAGCTTCCGATACTTGGCGATAATTGTCGGCCGGATGGTTCTCGCCGGAAACGAGGAGCTATCGATCGGAGCTGGTAGACTCCAAAGGGACTCATCAGCATCGCCTGCCCTGAGTCCCTGAGGCTCTTCATTTGCGGACGACCCAGCCGATTCGAATGGCTGTTCCAAGGCGCCGAAGCGATATGCGAGCTAATCAGATATGACATCACTAGCGCAAAAGACCCTCAAAACTCTGCAACACAGTTCCACAGCAACACCAACCGCGGCCGTCTACCACATGGCGCGCATGGGACGGCAATACTTTGAGACCGCCTGAGATGCAGGAGGCCCTGTACCGTGACTGTCATACCCACTATTATTGCAACATTACCAGACTACTTGTCGAATGGGCATCGAGAAACATGCCACAATCTCTCACCACATGTCAGAAGCGCACGCCTGGGCTCTCCCTACCGCTATCGAATTCCGGTGTTGCAAAACCGTCCCTTGCCCTCAATCTGCCCGAGTGACGCCATAGATCTACGCAATGCCATCCAACAGAATCCCAAGCCATACCCTTATCGTTCAGGGTCCGGCATTTTTACGCAGAAGCGCAGTGTACCGTGCCGCTAGAGTTGCAGTGGACGTTTGAGTAGTGTAGGGGGCGAAGTACAGACTACCTTGTCTCTTCGGTATAAAACTCTGGGTATCTGCGCGCAAACCAACCATCAACCCACCTCCACATATCCACTTATCCACATACCCACAGTTCTCTCCGCTTCCTTTGAGGGGTTTTCTGGAGACATTACCTATCTATCGGGCTCGCAAACTATAAAGGCTGTTGGACTTCCAGCGTTTCCAGACTTGCTCAGACCACAACTGTACAACTTCTTGCAACAAACACGTTGCAAACTTCCACGAACCCAAACTCCACACACTCCATCACCATGTCGGCACCCTCTCTAGCAGCCCCTTCAACGGGCATGCGTCGCCTCTCTGCCAGTGAGGCTACCAGCGACAACATCAAGATGGGCCCAACAGTCGTCGTCCCCCCACAACATCTCATGGCCCCCTCATCAAAAGCATCAGAGATCGCCAGTGCCTTCGAGACCGCCAGGCATCACCTTGACGCTGCCAACACTCCTGGATCTCCTGGATACACTCCCCCGGAGACATCAGTTACGGACAAATACGCATTCGCCTTTGGTATGTTAGTCACCATGGTAAAGCATGTCTTTTCTAACGCATCCTAGATATCGATGGTGTCCTCATCCGAGGTGGACGACCCATCCCTGAAGCCGTTGAAGCCATGAAGATGCTCAACGGTGAGAACGAGTACGGCATTGTTGTACCATACATCTTCGTTACCAACGGTGGTGGCAAGACTGAAGCCGAGCGATGCGTGCAACTCAGCAAACAAATGGAGATGGAAGTATCACCTGGACAGTTCATTTGCGGACACACACCCATGAGGGAGATGGCAGAGAAGTACAACACCGTCCTCGTCGTTGGAGGCGAGGGCGAGAAGTGCCGCATTGTCGCTGAGGGCTACGGCTTCAAGGATGTGTAAGTTCGCCCGTAACATCTGTCCATGACATCGACTAACACCGCTCCAGTGTCACTCCAGGAGACATTATCAAAGACAACCAAGATACTACACCCTTCCGCAAGCTCACAGAGGAAGAATACAAGAACTCGCGAGTCCGCAACTTCGCTGAGGTCGACATTGACGCCATTTTCGTGTTCGCCGATTCTCGCGATTGGGCATCGGATCAGCAGATCATCCTCGACCTGCTGATGTCGAAGAACGGTCGTCTCGGAACCCGATCTGCCAACTTTGACGAAGGCCCACCGGTCTTCTTCTCCCACAACGATGTCGTCTGGAGTGCTTCGCACGACCTTACCCGTATTGGTATGGGCGCTCTCCGTGTTTCACTCGAGGCCATGTTCAAGGCTGTCACTGGCCGCGAACTCAAGACAACCGCATTTGGCAAGCCTCAGATTGGCACTTTCGAATTTGCCACCCGCCTTCTTGCCGAGTGGCGTCGCGACACTCACGGCATCAACTCGGCTCCTTCAACCGTCTACTTTGTAGGTGACACACCCGAGTCCGATGTGAGGGGTACCAACGAGTACAACGAGCACACCGACTCCGCAAACTGGTACTCTATTCTAGTCGAGACTGGTGTCTACCAGCGCGGCACCACACCTCGCTTTGAGCCCAAGGCTATTGTGAAGAACGTCCTCGACGCCGTCAGGCACGGTATGGAGCGCGAGTACAAGAAGGCTCTCCGGGAGAGCATGATGGAGACTGGTGTGCTTGAGGAGTAGAAGTTTTTTGACTCTCTTCTCTCTTTTTCTTCTTTGCTTTCCTTTCTGCATAGCACGGCGTTTGGGTAGTACCTCATCTGATTTCGGCAAGAGTCACTGCAGCAGTCGCTATAGATGATAGACATAGCTAGATCGCGCAATAGTAGACACAAACACAATTCATACACGGCAGGTACAAATTGCCTCGTCACTTCAATCAGCCAATCTCTCTATTGCACATCCTCACTTTGATCACTAACAAAGAGCATCGCGTGTTTCAAACCAAATGACCATCTACATGAACCAACTACCGACGTCTGCATTCGCAAGCAAGTCGATCCGGCCTTATTCATCCCATCACCTCGCCTACAAATGCCTCAACGATAGATCCTACCAAAAGGCAGCGAGCGAGTATCGGCGGCAACTTCCGATTCGATCATTCCCACCCGGAATGACGAGGAGCGCAACGCCGCGTTACCCGGCACTTTCCACACGGCGCTCAACACCGCGAAGCTTGTATTGCGAACCGCCTGAGTCGGGCCGAGGTGGCTCGTAGTCGCCGGTTAGTGCAACCAGCCACCACTTGCATTACGACGGCCTCCATGATATCAGCCCACGTCACCAACGAAAAACGGCCGAGAACAGCCTTGCCGATGGGATCGCGATGAGAGAGAGATGTGGAGTGAGACGGTGGGAAGTTAATTGTGGGTGTTGTGGGCTGGAAGGATTGTGAGAGAGTCGATTGCGTGACTGTCAATGGCGGAACGTGTTCCGCAACTGTAAGAGGAAGTTGCAAAGACACGGTTACGTCCCTCATCGCGATTTCGTGTCTGGCTCCACTACGAGATACTGATACGACGGCATGTGACATGCATAGGTGGACCATGTCCTCGGCACGGATAACACATCTTCCAACGGCCGTGGTGTACCGTGTGTAGAGCACAGCACAGCAGCTCGGACATGTTTCGAATCGATCGACGAGGCGACGTTGCAACATGGGCCACATGTGGACCCCCTCATTGCGAGGGGCACACGACGAAGGAACCATCCTCATCCCACTTTCGCGCAATTTTATCGTTTCTCCAACGGGTGGATGAGGGACGACCGGCGGAATCGTGTCACAAACAAATCTGAGACAAACATACGGCTATATTCTAAACTCTCGAGATGAGCCCGACACGACACTGACAGTCTGAGTTCGCGCTTGACTCAT